GAAGATTGGTCTTACGTAGTTGAATCTGCATATTGGTCCAACAATCTTGACCTCTGCGCTCAAGATCCGCCCATGGTGCGGAGACTCGATCTGTTTACTTACTTCATATGGCGTTGATGACGTAATCACCAAGAACGGTGACTACAACTATAGCGTTAATTATTTATCCTGGTTTATTCCAATATACTGGCGCCATCTACCGACATGAGGTAGTCCAGTAGAGAGATAGATCGACGTACCATTCTTAGTCATACCTTGCCACAGAGTCGGTAGATGGTGCCAGCGGTACTTTGATAGCCAGGAGGATCAGCGCTAAACACGTGTTGACCAAAAAACTCATAAGAAAGAAAAGATTTTTCGCACGGTAGTCAAGCAAATTGGATATTTACTCGAAGTTTATTAAAGAATAAGCATTCTGTAATTTTATTTGTATCATCAAAGAATGTAATAATCAGAATTGTGTGCAGCTAAAGCAAAAAGCTGACCTCTAAAAAGAGAAAACATAAGTTGAGTCGTTAACCTCAGTGGAAATGATTTGTTAAAAATATATCCTTTTTCCAAAATTATCTCTCTCAGGTAAGTAGCGACATTTTTATTTTCCATAAAATGCTCAGTATTTGTTGTCGTATCAATCTATTGTATCAGAATTGGTCCACGCTTCGAGTATCACCCAAATGCTTCTTGCTGATTCGTCGAACTTGCGACAATAATGCAAACCCTTCTTTTTGATTGGTGGAATTTGTTTGGGTCACAAATTTTGTACCCGGGTGCAAATGTCAAAAATAGGTTTTTGTAGCTAAACTAGGTGACATACAGAGTGTTTCAGAAAGACGAGCAAATATTTCTAGGGTAGGAAGTACATCCAAAAATAACAAAAATAAGTCCCTATAAATATGGCTTCAAAGTTGCTCCCCTACATGGTGATAAAATTCTATTTACGAAATTGAAAAAAAATATATATCTACGGTGCGGGTAAAGATACTGAGTTAAGATTTCCGAAGTTCAGTGAGCACATCATGAGCAATAAACACTCACAGTTTTGTAGTGGTTTAGTCATGTGTGCGACTATATGGTGTAGGTGCAAAGACGTTGAGCAACTAGAGCTTGGCGCGGCACTCGACCCTGGACGCAGGGTGGTAAATAAACGTTTTCTTCAAATTTATCTTAAAATTACAATTCAATTTTCCATAAATTTTGTCTTATGAGGAATTTTTGCCAGATCATTCGTTTCGGAGTGGATATTTAGGTTTGAATATTTCAGGTACAATCCTAAAATATTGTTATGAAAAGGCTTAGCATCCCCTATCCCGAAAACACCGTGATGTTGGAAACACTGTAAGGCATGTGTGCATTAATTGAATAATATGCGTTTCTTATCCTCGATCAGTAGCGTAGAAGCTTACCATTCATTAAACCTTTACTGTGCACGCCACTGTTTTTGCCGGCATATTTATTTATGCTCACAGATATAGAAACTTAGAAACAAGGAAAACATTAATTTCAAAAATTAATTAAGGTAATAAGAATTAATCACAACAATAAATACTACATTTGATACAGCTTACGTGTTTTTTTTTAAACTTATGAAGACATAACATTAGAAACTGAAAACAATGCTGAATTAATGCTATAACATCCAACCTACGAGTAAAGGATGTGTTGAAAGTGACCACCTCTGGATTCAACACCAGCCCATGCTTTATACCACAAAGACTCTCTGAGTCGTTGGAAAATATCTGGCGTAGTACGTACAGTATTGAAAGCCTTCTGTACACTTCGTCCTCATACTTCTTGTCCGAGAATTTTACTCAAAGTAACTGGTCCCACAACTACCAGCTGTGATTTTAGACAAACAGAAGAATCTAACAAGGGTAATACCTGGAGAGGTATACCATGAAAACTAGTGGCGTGCATGAACAAGCTTTAACCCACGGGGAGGCGCATACCGTCTCACAGACCGAATCGGTTAAAATAGTGCTATATTGGCTTCGTTCCAACAAAGCCGTGTACCGTACAGTGAACCGTCATGAGCGTGCGCAGTACGTTTTTAGTGTCACTTAAAACGTACTGCGCATGCTCATGACGGTTCACTGTACGGTACACGGCTTTGTTGGAACGAAGCCATTGTAACGATACTTCGACGTACGATTTACCCCCACTATGTATGTACCTTCCTAGGTTGGCGCGATAAAGGATTTCCTTGCGTAGTTTGTCAGTGGCATTAGAATAAGTGGGTGTAGTAGTAAGTTCGGTCTGTTAGATGGACGCGCCTTTTTGTGTGCTATTTGTTTTTTCGTACATTGACTCATAAACTGAGGTAAGTTTCAAATAATTTTATTTTATATTTGGAACTAAACGCTTTATCTATCTCTTATAGATATGGCGAGTTATGAAGCAGAACAGGAAAGGCTCAGACGTTTGTGGAAAGAAGTTATGGATGATGAAAGTGAAGAAGATGCAACAGAAGAAAGGGCGGAAGACAGTGATAGTGAGCAAGATGTATCTGATTCGGAACGAAATGCCTATCCGACAGATGGTCCTGAGTTCCTAGGAAAGGACAAAATGGAAAAAGATTGTTCCGAAAAAGGTGTTCGCACCAGAAAAGATAATATAGTCACCGCCTTACCTTCATCAAAATTAGCTACTAAATCTTTGAAAACCACTTTGGAAACCTTTAGATATTTTATAAATGATATTATGGTAGATATAATAGTCGAACATACTAATAATGCATACATAAATTCTATATCTAGTAACTTCGAAAGAGGTAGAGATGCACTGCCGACAAACAAAATTGAAATCTATGCTTTTTTGGGCTTACTAATCTATGCTGGTGTTCTAAAATCCAATATGTTGAACGTAAAGGATCCGTGGAAGTCAGATGGGTTAGGAATAGAAATATTTTCTCTTGCAATGTCAATCAAGAGGTTTTTGTTTCTGCTACGATGCTTGAGGTTTGACAACAAACAAACCCGTGAGGATAGAAAAGCTCATGATAAGTTAGCACCAATTAGAGAGTTTTTCGATATTTTGGCGGAAAATTGTAAGACTGGATATAGGCCGTCGGCATATGTGACCGCAGATGAAAAACTCGAGCGATTCAGAGCGAAATGCAAATTGCGCCAGTATATTCCCTCCAAGCCTAGTCAATATGACATGAAAATCTTTGCCCTTTGCGATGCAAAAATGCATTATACGGACAACTTAAAAGTCTACACAGGGTAACAGCCTGAAGACCCTCATAGAGTGTGTAATAGTGCCAGTGATTTTGTATTGAGACTGTGCGAGGTAATAAAAAGTAGCGGTAGGAATGTGACACTCGAAAACTGGTTTACCAGCATTCCACTTGTAGAGAATCTAGCTAAAGACTACCCAACTAACAATTATCACTCCTATTAGAGTTGCAAGAATGATTATACAGTATTCCTTACACAGCATTGTATACTGTAAGAACATTGGCAAAACCCTCTTAGAACAGCTATACAAGCGGAATGAGCACACCTAATAGAGTCATTTAAGAGGTTCTATAAGGGCTGCACGTAACAGTTATACAACAAAATTGTAAGCCTCTTGCAGCCGCTATAGGACATTTGCGTCAGTGCAAGATTCAGTTTTTGTCAACTATACAATTATTCTGTAACGTAATTCTACTTTATTGCAACCAAACTATCTCTTATATATTGTATACACGAAGAAGAATATATAACTAACACATTAAGTCATCTTGTTTACTTACATATCGGCCATTGTGAATTTCATACACAGGTATATGATAAACTTCTACACTGTGATATAGGGCTATTGAATTACTTGCGCAGCAAATTTTATTGTGATTATCGTGCAAATTAGTTACGCAATTTCTACGGGCTTCGTATTTGATTCATATTTTGATAATGATCAAAAGTATGTCTAGATTTTTAAGATGGAAAACTGAACTTATCTGCGTTAACTCTTCCACAAATCCTATATTTAGACGCAATTACACTAATGTTTATCACTTTATATCTGTAATTTCGAACTGAAACAAACTTATTTAATATTGAATAGACGAATAAATGTTTGCCCAATATGGCGGGTGGTTGTGTATAATCATGGCATCGTCCATGTTGTGTTTAGGTTATTAGAATATTTTGGTGTTTCCTGCAGGTGTTATACAACAATTTGACAAACATCTGAAATGAAATACAGACAGAGTCGAGTGATTTACCCAAAATTTGTACCAGATCTATATCTTCTGTTTGAACAGTTGATAAAACATTTTGAACCAATATGCATGCGTTGTTTGTCTTAAAACATTGGTTATGGCATTTTAACAAAAATATGACAGCAGTAAGTTAGGTTATGGTGAAGTTGTATACCAACATATTTAGCATATGTACAGCCTTTAACAGTTGTACAAGTGCGTCCGTTGGGAGCAATTTGTTGGCTAAAGTAGTAAATTGCACAGCAAAACAACAAGGCTCGGGTTTGTTTTATAAACGTTATCATGGATGCCACAACACAACCATTTTGACCAGCGTGCAAATATTCCGTATAAAATAGTTGTATAAACGTTTATGCAATAGTTAAAAATTTGCCCTATAAGGTGTTGTATAACTATGCTATAAGAATATTTTAAACACCTCACTTTAGAGCAAATATGTTGCAGAAAGCAAATTTGCATTCCACACAACATTAAGCCAGCATTTTGGTGTTCAGGCAACAACAATAGAGAGCTTTTATGGCTGAACGGTTCTTTTACCAAAAGCTTATAACACTACTTTGCTAGTTGGGAGATAATTTATGTTTTGTTTTCATAAGTAGACATTTTCTTTTTTGTTACCAATAAAACTTATATCTAGATCTTTATTTGCTTTCTTCTCATTAAAAATATCGTAAATATTATCAAATTTGCACAAAAAAGAGTGTGGCCCTAAACAAATGTATTTCTGCGGCGCCATGCCTGCCGCGAAATGCAGTATTCTCCCTAATAACATCCCTTACTTATTGAACCTCGCTAGGCCACTGGTCGTCATCAAGGACAACAATCTTCCGCCGCCCTACTGGATCATGGCTAGAGTCATTAATGTTCATCCAGGGGGGACAACATCATCAGAACAGTGTCCCTGAACACGTCAAAGGGTCATCAAGAGGGCAGCCGCTACCATCTGTCCGCTTCCAGCTGAGGGCTTTTGGAGGACTTGACTTCTCCAAGAAGGGGGGCATGTTTCGGAAACTTCTGCACGCATCAGTACACAGCCCGTAGATCGCAGCAACATGGGCGTGGAAATCAAACAAATTCATTCAGACACAATTCATACAGATTATTGTTACATTCAGTCAATATACGATAAACAATCATCAGTGCCAAAGTTCATTCATCAATTCATATATAGGATAGGATAGGAAACCAAATAATCTTATATAGGTTAGTACGTACAGAAATCGCAGAGTGGCGCTGATTGCCGATGGGCGGACGAACTCTACGAGGGACCAACGATATTTTATGAGGACATTTCTGAGATAGCTGCTAAGAATACTATAACATTAGTGTCCAAAATATTTCAACACAATACTGAGTCGCCGAGAAAGAAAAATATAATACGTATGAAATTATACAATCAATAAACTATGAAATTTTCCAAAAGAGAAACATCAAAAAGAGTCCGGCCATCATTAATAAAAAGAAATTCAAAAATACCGGTAAGCGATCAGAATAGAAAAAAATTAGGCTACGTGATTCTGCCACGTCACAACCCCCCCTCTTTGGAGTAGGAGGGCATCTACAGTAGATAACCGGCGATAATAAATAATGTTGAGCTACCAATAACCTATAGAGACAAGAATCAAACTGAATATGAGAGTATCCAAATTCACAAAAAAAAATCCCAGCCAAAAAAGTACTCTAAGCCTAAGTAAACGAAACAACACTAAAATTCAATATCGAGTTGAAAGGTCAAAATCGGTATAAAAAGGTCAAAATTAGGTATAATAACAAGTTCAATATCGAGACATGAATTATGACACGTCCAAAATCATGAATCAACAAAAGCAAGAAAATATAACGTAAAGGTATGATAAGGGAAATGAACTAATAAAGGTATAGGTAAATTAGAGCAAGGAATGAATAAGTCAAATTTAGTATAATATTCAGTAGTCTCAGAATAGAACAAATCGTATTTTCACTTGTTGACATGTGCAGACATCGAGTTTTCCGTCAAGCTATCTTCCCATACTCAACAAATTGTCCAGTCTACAGGACAGAACGTAAGTTAAGACAAGATGAGAAAAGACAGCGTAATTCAGTAATTATACTGGACAGAGAGAGTTATCAATCGACCAATCGCTATCCATAGATGGATGAGTGTGACAAGGTAAGACAAGAGTAAGCAACAAATCCCTCCAGCAAAAGACAATGATAATAGTATTCCGTATATTGCATAACCTAAATCACCACAACACGAACAGTTATACAGGGTGTTCCTTAATGATATGCGAATATTAAAGGGTGTGAATCTACATGAAAAATTAATGTTGATTTATAAACTATGGTCCAAAAATGTTTCCTTACAAAAACTGGGGGTGTTGAAGTTTTAGGAAAAAATAGAAATTAATTTATTAATATTTTCAGAACAACTTCAGATATTCCACTGATATTTAGTACGTAGTAAAAGTTAATAAATCAGCATATTGTTCAATGCCAAAATCGTGCGGACGGGTATTGACTTCGATATTTTTTAAGAAAAAAATAGTACGCCAATAGTTCTTTGCCAAATAAAAATTATTTTTCAATTCCGTCTTCAATTTAAAACAAACGATCTGTCTTGATTTTTTTTCCTTCGATGCGCCATTTTTGAGTAAAATAATAAAAACCGTTCTATTGTCCGAGAAAATTAACGTAATAATTGAAGAACGCAATTTAGCAATATACAGGATGTAAACGTTATGATAGTAATTATTCAAATGGGTGATAGATGGGGTTAAAAGAAGCAAAAAGTTTCATATAACATGGGGGTCAAAACGGCATATCTTTAGAGAGAAGCGACTGTAAAGTAAAATAAGTCTGACTACGCTGCAAGACTATTCTAAAGGATAACTAACCACTGTTACCGTTTGCGATCGATTGACGGTTCAATAAGAGTGATGATGACCAACGCGCTGTTGCCAAGTGTGTTTTAAATATCCAATTTCATGAAACTTACTTTCCTACTGACTACAAAATTTTGGCTTAACTTAGAAAAACTTAATGCCATTTATTTGTTAATTACCCAATTTAAAAACACTTTAGAGTAGATTATAAAAATTGGGAAGATTGTGGTGATTGTGGTCGATATAAGACACTTAAAGTTGTAAACTATAAAGCCATTTAGACAAAAATCTATTGACTTTTGGACCAAGGGTCATATGAACTTTTTGACTTGTTTTCATCCCCCCTTTTACCCATTTCAATAATGACTACTATAACGTTTACACGCTGTATGTCTAGTTGCTCTGTAATATGTCACTGGCTTTTGACATCTGACAAGCCTCTGTTATTCAAATCTGTTCGCTGGGACATCTTTTTCATTATTTAGTTTTCACAATCTTGTTAATAATGGTGAATTATTCATTACGTATATGGCCTTGCCGACGGTAATGGTGAGCAAGCCAGACGGATTTATCACCAGAGATATAACGATCGTGCTTTGCCAGATAATCGAACCTTTTCTAATATTTATCGTCGTCCTGCTGAAACTGGTTCTGTCCGAAAAGGAACATCTGAAAGTAGATCTGTAACACCTGAAATTGACGAAGCAGTGCTGCACGACACTTTCAATATTTGCCATCAAATTGTCCGGAGAATTTTAGTAGATTTTTTGTTATATTCTTACCATATTTTAAGAGTACAGGCATTACTTCCCATTGGTTTTCCAAGGCGTGTGACCTTTTGTCAGTGGTATCTTCAAAAAATTACAAAAAATCCTGAATTTGAATCAATGAATCTGTTCACGGACGGAGCTATTTTTTTTTAAATGCCATTCAGCATTTCCACAATAATCATTTGAGGGCAGAAGAAGATCACTATGCCGTAACCGAAATCCGTTTCCAACATCAATTTTCGGTTAACGTATGGGCAGGAATTATTGGCAACCACTTTATTGGTCCATTCTTCTTGCCGGGACAACTTGACGGACATACTTACCTCAATTTTCTTCAACAACAGCTGCCTTTGCTGCTTGATGATGTTCTGTTAGTAATAGGAAACAATATGTGGTACATGCATGATGGTGCACCAGCGCATTTCAGTGTAGCGGTTCGTAATTATTTACAAACTGTTTATCCAAATCGTTGGATTGGCCGCGATGGGCCCCAAGAATGGCCACCAAGGTCCCAGATCTCAACAGTTTAGATTTCTTTTTGTGGGGCTATCTTAAGACAGTTGTGTACACAAGTCCCATTAACACTGTAGATGAATTAAGAGAAAGAATAGTTGCAGCTTGTGATAGAATAAAGAACACTCCAGGGACATTTCAATGAGTGCGCAATTCCATGAGAAGGAGGGTGGAAGCATGCATACTAAGTGAAGGGGTCAATTTTCAACAATTTTTGTAATCATTTTGTTGGTTTTAATGTTATGTTATTGTTGTCAGTTGTTGTTGTTCATCACCCCTAATGTGTTTAATTTTTCCAATTAGAGTAATAATAATTTTGCAAGTTAGACAATAGAACGATTTTTATTTTTTTACTCAAGAATGGCGCATCTAAAGAAAACAATTCACGAAAGATCATTTGTTTTAAATTGCACGGGGAATCCAAAAATAATTTTTATTTGGCAAAAACCATTTGCGCACCATTTTTTTCTTAAAAAATATCGAAGTCAATACCCGTACACACGCCACTGTTAAAGCTAAAAATTATTATTGCATTGAAAAATATGCAACTTTATTAACTTTCACCACTTACTAAATATCAGTGAAATATCTGAAGCGGTTCTGAAAATATTAATTAATTTCCATTTTTTTCCTAAAACTTTGACACCCCGAGTTTTTGTAAGTTAACATTTTTGGACCATAGTTTATGAAGCAAACTAACATTAAGTTTCCATGTAGACTCACACCCTTGAATATACGCATGTTATTAAGGAACACCCTGTATATTATATGAAAGAGCGACTCCGCCATTAAACAATCACAACACAAATTATTCATCTCGAAATCAAAATTCAAACAAGTGCATACTCTGCAACAACTTAGTTTATCCTTTGTCGCAATGGCAATGTTCATTGCAACATTACCTTCGGACCGTTCTGCGCAAGTGAAATAACACAACGCATGCGTCAATCGCATTTTACGAAACTGCACATTCAGTTGAAAAAATATGTCGTTGTTGCCACCTGAGTTTATTGAATCTGCCACAACCGACAGTTGATTATGCCCAAAATCGAAATCAAAATTCAAGTCAGAATCCTGTTTCTGTAATTCCAAATCAAGCCACTGCTAACCTAATGTTTGCACATGTAAATCCAAATCAATTTCATTATAATTTTTGTCATTCCAACTCTGACTATAGTCAAATAACCCAAGTTTATCCAAAGTTCATCATGTGACAATCAAATCACTTTAAACTCTATTTAATATAAGTATAACCCATCACAACATAATCCGTTAACCAACCTTCGTACATAACCACCTACCTCGACACCAGAATACCTCAAGCTAGAAGCGTGTGATGTTTTAAGTAATTACCAAACAGTGCGAGCAGTCCTAGATGGCGGAAGTCAGGCACACTTTATAAGCGAATCTTGTCTCAACCGATTCGATATATCAAGAAACCAATATTCGATCTCTGTCTTTGGTCTAAATCGATCATCGTCAGCTACTAAAGGCATTTCTACTTGCGCTTTTGAACCTTCTCCCACAATTCAAATCTTAGTTATTTCTTCTCGCTCGAATCTCTACTATTAAGAAATCCTAATTTATCAAAGCTATAGTCAGATTTTATGACAGGTAATACCAACAATGGTCACATGCCTCTGCTCCCACAATCTGATTTCAGACCATCGTTGACTTGTTATTTAGCACATCATGGAGCATTAATTTCGTCTCGATAAATCCAGTATGGAACTTGGTGTTAAATTTAATCCATTGGTTAAAGGCGCAAAAGATATCAGCTTTAATGATATTCTTTTGACGGGTCCCAAATTGCACAACGATATTTGCGAAATCTTGTTAAAATTTCGATTCTGCCCTGTCATATTCTGAAC